TGGATAATTTTAGGCGTGAAAATAGCAGCCATTTCACAGGCACTTTAAAACCCAGTGAATAATTAATTCTTTTACAGTATATGTATACTAATCATTTTGATACATACACGTTACTATCATTTCAAACTGTGATGATAATGACATTCTTGTAACTATATCTCTCGTGAATACTGTAAACGTACTAATTATGCAATGTATTATCATTTTTTTCTATTTGTAGACATTCTCATACAAATTTCTACAAAGCAACTGTTTTTACTGTCAAATCAACTTGGGGTCTAAAATTATAGACTTCTGATATTAAAACTATGTGAAAATAATATTTTTACAAAAGTATTGTATGACTTATGTCAATGTAAATACCAGAGACTGTATTAATAAATTCTAGCTTTCTTTTTAAAGCATCTAAGTAAATAGTTGAAATAGAAGGTTTATCAAAAAGGAAACAGGAATCGTTTTAAATTCTTACCATTCTATTTTTACATGATTTATGATCTAATCTTTAGTTCAAACTGGATGTAGAGACCCATTGATCTACTTCAAAACACATCTCATCATAAAAACTTCCTTTTTCCAAAAAAAAAGAATAAAGAAACTATGTCTACCTTGCCTGTGTAATGAATGAATTTGTAATTGTGATGTGAGATGTGTTTGACATCCATAAAAAAAAAGATTAGGCCAATTTGGTCATTTTCTGTGTTCCATGTAGCCATGAAGTAATACATATCTAATGTATATATGCTATCTAGTTATCTAATTATGCTAATTATGCTAATTCCCAATGACTGATTAACTTAATCAACAGAAATGTATGCTATGATTAATGATATTCACATGCTTGCTACATAACTGGAAAACAGTATTAAATATAATAGGATTAATGTAATTCATTATAAGGTGTAGTTTATTTCACAGACTTCATTAATGATCACCCCCCAGGGATAGATAGATAGATAAATAAATAAATAAATAAATAAATAAATAAATAAATAAATAAATAAATAAATAAATAAATAAATAAATAAATAAATAAATAAATAAATAAATAAATAAATAAATAAATAAATAAATAAATAAATAAATACTAGATGATCTGAATTTAAAGTTTCTGAACCATGAACAGTAGAAATATTAAATTATAGAAGATCTGTGATATATATACAGATTACTTGACATTTTTATCCCATTACTTATATTGCCTAATTCAGATTATGGTTTATGTACACATTATACATAATTGAACACATGTTTGGTATGTATAGTTTTTATTTTATTTCTCAGCTACAAAGTTGCTATTTCACAGAAGCGTTTTTTTTTATCTCATCAAAGATGAAAGAACGCTGTTGTTCGTTGTTTCTGTTATTAAATGTACATTGTATATACGTCTGTCAATAAAACACCTCACAGTAAATCATTAGTTTGCGTTGATCAGTGAGCTGAATTTGTTATCAGGCATCCACGCTGGTTAGCAAAAATGTACACAAATGATGTCATAGTAGACAAATACAGTCCAATCAGCAAAAAGAATTTAAAGATATTCGAATCAATCAATAAAAATATAATTTGTGTATCATCATATGTTGGGCGCAAACCCTGAATGAAAGGACTTGAACTTAACATTAAAATAAGGAATCTCACTTGACAACCCCTGAGAGCACTTCTGCAATCATTTTCCGCAAATTGTGGTAATTTCTTTATTTTACATTACTATTAGCAACACCGTTGTTTGCTTGACATTCAAACAACAAGAAAGTGTGCAACTTTTTGCTTGTATAAATTTTGATAATTGGAAGCAGAGTGGGTGGTTATACCGGTATATGTACGGAAAAAATTAACTTTAATCAGGGAAATTATAAAATCACCAGGTCAGTTACAGCATGGAGCTAAAAAAAGAATCTTTTTTACGCTCAATGGTTACAGGTACGCATATATCAATTAGTTTACCTACAAGATTTTTTAATTTAAGTTTTGGTGAGCTAAAAATCTTATTTCTGTTTTTTAAACAATTAAATCACTACAGTCCTTTAACAAAATCATTTGTCATTATCGGTATTTCAAATAACAGAGAATAGTTTTCCATCTGCAAAACGTGTATTACCACAATGACTCCAAATCACATATACTTCCTCCCACAATGCATTGCACACATATGTACATTCACAATATGAATTCAACTCAAAATTCCCCTAACCCTGAAAACACTTGAAGTCAAGTTTCATATATGAAGTAATTTCAATCAAATCATAATTAATCAGAGAAATTATTTCCTTTTTGTCCAGAAGTAACAAAGCAATTATACAAAATTTCAAAAAAACTGTCATTGAGCTACAAGCAGAATATGATAAAACACAAATAATTATATGCAAATTAGCTAATTAATATGCAGGGTTGGGCAAAAAAAACACTGCACACTGTGAAATCCCTGGTGAAATCCCTGCCTGCCCTAAAATACAAACATAAATGTGATCAACAGCTTTCAGTCTTTATTTGCACAGTAACAGACATAGTAAATATAAAGTTCTCATATTGTGCGGCAACACATTTTCACAATTTTACTTCAATACAATTTGACAGCTGTGAACAAGTTGTTCTGATCCGATGGCCTTATACAAGTAACGATTTATTGTGTAAAGCTATAATCCATGCTTCCCCAGCTATTGGTGGTTACAGACCTTTACAAGCGTATTCTACTCCATTATAAGCACTTACATAAATAAAATGAACTGTTTTGGTATTCACTTAAAATCCCATCAAAAGAAACTTTTTTTTCTTCCTTTGGCTCTGCCTTCATTCAAATCGGGGAAATATTGTACCCCTATAAGATTATATTTATAGTATCTCATGTATACCAAAATATCAGTATATTGACAAATTAAATAAACACAATGTAAAGCTTCTAGTTTCTGCAACCTCTACTTCAGTAAATTTTATTATTAAAATGTTTTCAAAAAATTATATAATACATAATCATAATAAATTTCCAAACCCATTGACACAGATTTATGAATTTGTTGACAGAATCATTTTCGCCATGGCAACGATTTTATTATTTGTGGACTCTCCATATCTCAATTTGCAAAATCTTGTAAATAAATTACATTTTAACAAGAATTTTTACTTTTCAAAACACCAAACGACTTTGTAAAAGAACATATCCGGTCCCTGACACAATGACAATTCAACTTTTAATCAGTCAAGTAAATCCAAAATACACGCACACACTGACCTAGAACACATGACATTTGGCTTTGTAACTTGGCCTAGTGAACAAGCATACAACCCTCAAGCACATATCACATGTTATACAGAGCAATCAGGATAACAGAGCATATTGACTTAGTAAGCCACATGTGACTATCACACCAAAAGAAAACTGTAGAATATAGATAAAAGTCACCTGTTTTGTTTCCATTAGCACCGAACTACAAAAATATCAAAATAATCTGTCAGGTTTTATTGTTGTTTTATTCTTCAACTAGATATACTGTTTTGTTTTTATTTTTCACCAATTACTTCTGCCAAAAACGAAAGCTATAATCAGAGTTATCAATTATTTCCTAATACAGCAGTAATTTAATAATATATAGCGCCTATGTCAATGTATGGCAAAACGTGTTTACTGACCCACATATTAGGCATGTGGTGAGCTACATTTGAAACAACCCCAATTAGAAAACAATAATTACAGATTATTAATATATACTAGTATATGGGAGATGGAGAGTTTGTGAATTTATTGCTGGTACGGTAATAAGGTTTATAAATTCATTTCCCGTGTAGCCACTAACCTGTGCATACACCTTTTCAATAGACGCCCGCTGCTTGGCAAAATCCCTGTATAAAAACAGAATTACGGGATGTATTGTAAACGATCACACATCAAACAGATAAAGCCAGTGATCCAGTAGTATATGTATGTTTTATTCCACGAATATAGTTTTAATCTGACGACACGCGAGTGCGGCGAGTAGGACTCACCTGACATCGTCCAGGAGTTCGTATTCGGTCTGCTGTTTTGATTGGAGCTTACTGAGTTGTTCGTTGTGTACATTTCTTACACGTTGGGCGATTTTAACCTGCAAGATAATCGTTCATTTTTAAGTTAAAATACGCCATATATTTGACCTATTGTTATTCTAGATGTGAAAAAAGCGATATTAAAGGTGACTGAAGCTAAATTACCTTCCGTGGCGGTGGTTGCTGCATTGTGACTTGCACCTGAATACAGAGCGGACGATTCAACTATACGTACACCTCGGCCATGTTGTTATTTGAGTGGCTGTTCGGATCACCCGGAAACCGCCCACTGGGAGGCTGCGATACGGTTTGTCAGGTAGTCTTTTCTAAAAAAATATATAACGTTTGTTTTTTTCATTTTCTGTTATGTTGTATTCTTCGCACAAATTTAATTAATCCAATAAATTGTGCCGAAACTCAAAACGTGTTATATACAGTAGCACGGACTATCTTTGCTAATGAGCGCATCCGTTACATGCACAGCCATTCGGTGATATCGGTGTCCCTCATTTACGGTGTTTTTGATGACGGGGACAATATTCTAGTTATCGGTACTTGTATAATTATGTCAAAGTTCAAGTGATGACATCATTATGTTGTCGATTAAATGTCCCCAGTTATTTAGAAGTGCTACAATATATACGTCATGCCTTCGTGTTATTTGTTGTTCATCAAGATTCATGTAAACAACGAACGTCTCTAACAGTAAATACCACCGATAATATTAATACATGTACAGAAAGACTCAATAAAAACACACGTTATGTGATTAGAAAACTCGATCAATTCTTGAAAATAGAATTTAGAGCTCTAGTAATGTGAACGTAATTAAATACCTGTAGTAACTATTAGTATTAGGTGTTTTGGCTCTGTTTATTTTAATGTTATCTTATAGTTTAGCTACTGTATGTTTTATGATTTTTATTTTTTACCATACTGCGCCCTCTGATGGCATAGTAGTGTAATAAAGTTAGTGTAATAAACTATGAACTTGAAAATTGTCTAAATGAAATTAATAACTTTAGCTTACGTAGAATGTTATCAAAATTTAGGCTTAGTGATCACATTTTGGAGATTGAACTGGGGAGAAGGAGAAAACCAAAACTACCAGCAACAGAAAGAGTCTGTAGAAAATGTGATCAAGGCGATATTGAAGATAAAAAACATTTTCTTTTGAGCTGCTCACATTTTGAAAATGAAAGAAAAATCCTCTTGAAAAACTGCGAAATTACCTCAAGTGAAACAAATTGAACAAATTACATCATGGATTCGTCTATGTATACTGTCGGATTTTTTTTTTTTACCTGAAAAGGCATTTGACACCATAGATCACGAAATTCTGATGCAGAAATTGCGTAAATATAGTATCCGATGTGTTGCCTCTTTTTAGATGAGTAGGTAAAGTGCGGTAGTCGCCGCGTAGCGCGTGTTCGAATTTTATGTAAATAAACAATGTATTTTACATGCGTTGTATACGTCGCTATGAGTCCCATATCGAACAGAACGCAACGTGATGACTGCCGTCCTTTAAAACCCAATAATAGTGCATATACTGCAGCAGGTCTTACTGGTGATATTGAGTGAGCCTGCCTCGGGGTAAGACTCTTGAACCTTCGCTATTCATACTATGTCAATGATATATGTTAGCAGAGGTACACATTACCTCTGATGTTAGTTATCGCAAATGTTACTTACAGATTATTTTATATGCTGATGATACTAAAACACTTCGATCTGGTGAAACTATTGTTAAGATTGTATGAAACTTTGAAGATATCTAAAAGCTTTGATTCGTGTTGCCTATTTTTCTGTAGTTGCCAAAAGTGTGTAAAAGGAGTAAGAGGAATCGTTACCCATTGTCCAAATCACACGGTTTTCCTCAAATAAGCATACTTTACTGCGAACAGGCGATAAATGGGCTAGTGAAGATGTCCGTGACCATGTAAAACCACATAAGCTCCGCTCTCTGTCAACTGCTACAAATTGTCGACAGAGGGCGCTGTGGTACTGTCGGTACGTTGAATTTGTGATAACTGACAGTACAAAGTACCGTACTACTGACAGAATCCTAAATAAATATCAAGATACGTTAAGCATCTCTACAAACGTTTAGACCCCCGAATTATATTCGTGCTACTCCTCAATTCAGTGAATTACGCTTGTTCTGATAACAAGTCATTATCAACAATTACATTATGTAATGATATCAAGCATAATAACATTTGATATCATGTTATCAAAAGTGTCAGAGGTATCAAGTA